CTCACGCAGTTATCTTCCGCAGTAAGTTTAAGAAAAATCATGTATATGTCTATATGATTCAAAGGTTTCAAGTATGTATGTTTAAAAAGTATATGTACATATGTATGTTAAGAAAATCGAGGTTGTAGCTAACAACCCTAGTTTTGAGTATTTAAGTTTTAGAATGTTGCAACAGTGCATGCAACAAATAAACGAATTTTAAACATGACGATTTAAATGATTGATTTTAAAAGGACTTTAAGATGTACTTGAATTTAAGATTTCTCACGAAATCCGTTTTAAAGTCAAATTAAATGGCCCAATTGAATTAGCTAGTTTTAGAAAGGCTTTCAAAGAGTATTTGAAACAAGAGTTCAAACACAGCTCCATTTGAAAAATATTTCTAGAAGGTTTTATCTTAATTGAAATTAAGAAAAGCTTTAAGAAATTCAGTGATTTATTCTTTTGAAATTATTGTTACGAATTATGAAAGTATTCATTCTTATGTTTAAAAAAAAAAAAAAATGTTCCGCAAATTTTAAGAAATGCCAGTAAGTACAAGTTAAAGTTTAAGGTACAGTGGCGGCCTCATAGGAGGGTCGTCACAGTTTCACCCTCATTCTATGCTTTTCAGTTTGTTTCAATGGACACTTTAAGTATTGATTCTCATTTTTATCTCACTCATATTTACTATTTTGCTGTCGTCTTTGTTTCGGATCTATAGTTCCTTTGTCGTTTATTTTCATTGTCGTATGTATTTTTTACGTCGTTTTGATCAATTGTATATTTGTATTCGTTTTAAGAATTTATTTTGGTTTTCCTTGATTAGTCAATTTTTGTTTTCTGTTGGTTTTCCATCATTGTCATCTCTTCATTTTATTGTCTTCTTTCACGCGAGTGCTTTTACATTTTGTTGTCCTGTCGCCCAATGTATCGTCTTTTTTTACTTGCAGTGCCTGTCTCATGTTTGTTGTTTGTCCTATTTTTTTGTCGTTTCTTTTTTATTTTCCATACTCGTAGTATATAGTATTTAAAGTTTTTGAAGATCAACTTATAGTAACAATTTTTTTTTTAAATACTAAGTCGCCATCTCTTGGAGAACATGCAATTTCCTTCCCCTTTCTTCATCAATTCTATTCTTTCTTTTATTTTCCTCACTTTGACATATTCTTCCCTGTCACATCCTAGCTAGATGGTTGATTATCAACACTCTCATCATAATTATAACATAATAATGCAGTTAATCAATTCTTTATCTGATTCTAAGACATCGTTTATTTCACCAATTCGAGTTTTCAGTTTTAGATTTCTACGGTAAAAAACTCTCAGAAAATGTCACTTTTTCTGTTACAGTGAAAAACTCTCTGAAAATGTCACATCTCAGCTCGAATTGAAAATTCGAATCCGCGAAGTTAACTAGGCCTATGTTTATAACTTTTGAAAGTCAGCACACACCCAAAAAAAAAAAAGGATCACTTTTGATGGCAAATTCCTTGTTTGTTCCACAAAGATCTTCACAGAAAGTCAATCAGGTCACATTTTTTTCACCGTGTTCAACAAAGTTGCAGATTCGGAGATAAAGTTCACCCAGGCAAACAAGCAGATTCTGTGGCCCATTGCAAAAATAAATTGTCTAACCACTACTTTATGCCGCCACCTAATTTGTTTTTAATGTTCCAAATTAGGCTTTTTTTGCCTCGTGGTAGATTATAATACATGGTAGTATAAAGCATTATTCTAGAATTATATAATCATCACATATCACATTCTCCATTTCTCATTACTTTTGTTTAGCGAATCTGATTCTGGCCTCCATAAAAGGAAATGGGTTTTGATTATAGAATTGACGATTCAACATAAAACTTTTTTTTTTTTTTTTTTATTTTATTTGGAGGGGAAAAGAGTACTTGTATGCAAGATTTGACCCATGGACCGTGATATAATATCGATTTTAACTTTTCTATATCCTCTAAATAGGACCACGTGTCATAAAGCTAGTAGTCAAATAGTGTGTACGATCAGAAAAACAAACAATTTTATATGGCTCCTACATAAGTAGCAGTCTTGTCTCGTTAACTTCTCTGATTTGAGTTTAGAATTCGAGTTGAGATTTAATTTTATGTGAAAGTTTTTTACTGTAACAAAAAAGTTAGATGTGATTGTTTGTGAGAGCTTTTTACTGTAGAAAAACTCGAATTCTAAACTCGAATTAACGAAGTGAACGGTTGAACCCATTTATTCGCTTAACTCAAGATATAATATCTATTTAGTTCATTGATTTAAGTTTTTAATTTGAGTTAAGATGTGATTTTATATGAAAATTTTTTATTATAATAAAAAAGTTAAATATAACTATTTTTAAGAGTTTTTTACTGTAATAAAACTCGAATTCTAAACTTAAATCGACGAAATGAACGTGCCTAATTTTCACTAACTCCAATTACATTCCAAATGTTTAAAACAATTAAAGGCACAGCCATAGGATGAAAAGTAGAGCAGTCTATACTATGGAGACTTCTTTAAAAAGAAAAGAAGAGTTGTATTGTAGGATTTGGAAAAATGAACTCTAGATATTATAGGTTCTTATTTTATACTCTTCAGTTTTGTATGCTCTTTTTATTGTTTTAAATATGATTTTTACTGTATATATATCCAATGATCAGAAATGTGCACCATTGATAGAAGACCCTACTATAGACTCAAAAAAACAAAAATACTATTATAATTCTTAGTAATCGTTAATGCATTAAAATTGTTTGCTAGGAAGCATAGTCATCTCAAAATAATAAAGAAAAAAAAAAGAAGATGAGAACTGATTTATTTTACGTGACAATTCTATTTTATTGACATGTGTCAATAATAACAATTAAAAATAAAAACTACAGCGAACCTTGTATTTTTCTCTAAAAACTATATCTGTTTATTGCCAAATATTCCTTAAATTTATAAACTATTTCATTCTATAGAATAATGCCTACGGACACCAATTCTAATACTATTTTTTTTAATTTAAATATGTAAATGGTCATCTTTTTTATGATAGGTGTATTTTAAAAGACTACCACCTTAATTAATTATAAATAAAAAATATAACAATTCACTATCACATAAATTAATATAAAATAATTGAGATTAAAATTAGTATACTAGCCTACCCTTTCATTCTAACATTTTTTTTGGGTATACTATTAGACATTTAGAAACATTCAAAACGAACATAGAAATCTTTGCGGTGAAAGATTATGATAGTGGTCCTATATGTGAATGCTTATTTTACCAATCAAGCTTTTAACTTACTCCTCCATTCACATCTTTTCTGATATTTTCTTTACCAAAAAAAAATAAGAAAATTTTTTTAGTGTTCTCTCTTTTTTAAAAATATTGATATTTTTTATTTATCAGCTGTCAGATATGTATTATTTTTTTAATTTAATTTAAAATCTGATTAAAAGTTAATTTAAATTAAAAAAATAATACAGAACTGAGAACTGATAAGTAAAAAAAATCAGTATTCTTAAAAAGAGAGAACATAAAAAAAAACTTAAAAAAATAAAAAAAAATACAATGAAATTCAACCAAATAAAATATTTAAAAGATATATTTTTTTTAGTTAAAAAGATATTTAAAGCCAAACAGTGACAAAAGCACGAAGCCCTTACAATGAAACAGAAAAAGTTCCCAAGTCCCAACGAACTGAACTCAGCCCGGCCAACAAACGGGTGGTCATCATTTCCCAAACATCCGTTGACCCACAAACAACACACAAGGGAGTCTTCCACTGCATTCAAAGCTGTGATTGAAAGTTAACCAACCACAGATGAGAACAGAGTTTTCACGGAGTGTTTGACTGCGTCTTCTTTCTCTTCTTGTTCTAATAAATTCATTACATTCCGATGGAAGAAGACGAACAAGATAGATTTCTTTTTATCATTCCTTGTTCTCATCTAATTTTAATATAAAAAAAATTCATGATGGTTTCGCCGTCTGATGCCGACCCTTTTGAATTAATAATACCTTTTCTCCATATCACTCCAAGCGGCAAAATTACATGTTTTCATCAGTCTCTCTCTCGCTTTTTTTATTATGTTTCTTGGTAACTCGGGAGAAGAATAAGTATATGGAAAGAGTCTTCTTTTATCATATATGTATATTTATATTCCATATATGAGTAATTATTATTGCCTTTTGTATCGATTTCTCTTGTTCAATGACCAACATGTGAAGATCAATATCTGCTTTTGCCTGTCAGGTTCTAATTCTTTTCTCTTTGGATTTCCTCGTATCATCTCTTATTTATTCTTCTTCTATATCGTCTCTTCTGCCAGTGACTTTTGACTTTTTTCTGTCCCTTTTGTTGTTATTCTTTATCTGGGTGTTTCTTAATCATGATTTATCTTACAGTTTAAAGCCATGGAAAATAGAAGATCTCTAGAGGCTATGTCAGAGCTAATAGCATCAGCTAGGGAGGTTAGTTCTCTGGCGCAAAGCCATGAAACTGAGAGGCAAATTTTCACTGAATTTGCTTTTTTGGTTGATAAATTCATTCCAATTCTCAATGAGTTAAGCGAAGAAAATAAAATTTTGGACCACCCTCCAGTCCAAAAAGCTGTAGAATCACTAGGGAAAGAGTTCAACCGCGCCAAGGCTATGATCAGAAGTCCGAACCCGAAAAGTTTGGTTAAGCAAGTGGAGAACATGATTCATGACTTGGGGAGATCATTAGGCCTCGTGCTATTTACCAGTCTTGAAGTTTGTGCAGATTTCAAGGACAAGATTGGGGTGCTCCATAGAGAATTGATGAATGCGAAGCTAGACCCGGGTTCGGTTGCGAGCTCGAGTCACCATTCCGCGAGTGTTGGCGAGTTGGAAGTGGAAGAGGAAATACAGGAGGAGAGGATTAGTATTGGTGTTGATGAGGTTGTGGTGAAATTGAAGTATGGTGATGATGAAGAGCTTAGATTGGCACTTTTAATATTGAGTGAGTTGATCGGAGGTAAGAAGGTTGGGAATGAGTGGATTGAATATGAGGGAGTTATTCCTGCTTTATTTAACAGGTTAAGCTCTAGTAAGCCAGAACATAGGCTGACCATGATTCATTTGCTGAGAACCCTTGCTCTGGACAATGATGAAAACAAGGTAAACACGTATGTATTCTCTGTTTGTGCCTATACTTGTGTTTACCTTTTAATATTATTTATCACCATTGGTAATGCAATCACTATACATGTGGTAGTAATTTTAACTACACAATAGCAATGGCAGATCCTGAAAAATGTTTCAATGAGGGCATAATTTGAAGATATAAGAGATAAATTTCTATTTAGATGGGGACGTAATTATAGGTTTTCATCATTGAGTGGGGCATAGTTATAACTTTTTTAAATTAAATCGGGAAACAACTGAAATTTTAGGAAAAAAAGGTACAAACATTAAAAAAAAAATGAAATCTAAGTGGGGGCACGTGGCTCAGTTCTATGGGGCTCTGTCACTGGATTATAGAGTGAGACCTTTTTTTTAAGTGACAGTTTCTCTTTTACTAACACTAGTGTGGTGATGAATATATCAATGTTCTTTTAACATATATATATATATATATATTGTGTGTATGCATATGCATATGTATATGTATATGTTCTTTTAATGGGGAGCACTGAGTTTCATTGAAAGTTGGCTTACATTGTGTAGTAGTGTGCAGGAAAAGATGGCAGATGTGGGGTTCTTGTCAACATTAGTGAAGTCATTGGTAAGAGAGGAGGAGGAGAGGAGAGAAGCTGTTGGCCTACTATTGGATCTTTCTGAAGTTTCAGCTGTCCGGCGGCGGATTGGCAGAATCCAAGGTTGCATTGTCCTCTTGGTTGCTCTACGAAATGGGGATGACCCTGTCGCTTCACGTGACGCTGCAAAGCTGTTGAATGGCTTGTCTTGCAACGCACAAAACGCGCTGCATATGGCGGAGGCAGGCTACTTCAAGCCAATAGTGAAGTACCTAAAGGAAGGTGATAAAAAAGTCTTTTTAAGATTTGTTGCTGCCTTTTGTTCTGTTTTAGTGCGTATGAGAACCATGTATGATTTTAATTCTAGCTTAGCTTTGAGTATGAGTTTTGAATTCTTAACTACATAGAATTGAGATCATTTTTGCTGTCCTGAAATCATATTTGTCTTTGCAGGCTCTGATATGAGTAAGATCCTTGTGGCAACAGCACTTTCAAGGATGGAGCTCACAGATCAATGTAGAGCTTCCCTTGGAGAAGATGGGGCCATAGAACCCCTAGTAAGAATGTTCACTGCAGGAAAACTTGAAGCCAAATTTTCTGCTCTAAACGCTCTGCAGAACTTGTCAAGTTTGGCAGAAAATGTACAACGTTTAATCCATTCAGGCATTTTGTCATCTCTACTTCAGCTACTCTTCTCTGTTACCTCCGTGCTTATGACTCTTCGTGAGCCCGCATCAGCAATTCTCGCAAGGATTGCTGAGTCGGAATCCATTCTCGTTAATCACAATGTGGCTCAGCAGATGCTCTCACTTTTGAACCTTTCCAGTCCAGTGATTCAGATTCACCTATTGCAAGCTCTTAATAGCATTGCCTCGCATTCTAGTGCCTCCAAAGCTAGAAGAAAAATGAAGGAGAATGGTGCTGTTCAGCTTCTCTTACCCTTTCTCATGGAAACCAACATCAAAATAAGAAGTAGTTCCTTGAAATTGCTCTACCCTCTTTCTAAAGATTTATCACAAGAATTGTCAGAACAAATAGGAGAAACACATATCATTATAATTATCAACATTGTTTCATCATCAACATATGAGAGTGAAAAAGCTGATGCACTTGGGATTCTGAGCAGCTTTCCTGTTAGTGATAAGAAAGTTACTGACATACTTAAGAGGGAAAACTTACTACCCATTATTGTCTCCATGACGACTTCAAGCCCCGTGACAACAACGCCCGAAACACTACAATTGTCAGAGAGCATTGCAAGCGTCTTGATTCGGTTCACTGGTCCTTCTGATAAGAAGCTACAGCTATACTCGGCAGAAAATGGGGTGATCACTTTACTTGTGAAGTTGCTCTCAAGTGAGTCAACGGTTGCTAAATGCCGCGCTGCAACCTCACTAGCTCAGTTATCACAGAACTCACTCTCTCTAAAAAAGTCAAGGACGCCAAGGTGGTTCTGCGTTCCACCTTCTACAGAGGCCTTTTGCGAAGTTCACGAGGGCTACTGCTTCGTGAAGAGCACATTTTGCTTGGTCAAGGCTGGTGCTGTGCCCCCACTGCTCAGAATATTGGAAGGCAACGAGAGGGAAGCGGATGAAGCTGTACTAAGTGCCCTCGCGACTCTATTGCAAGATGAAATTTGGGAGAACGGAAGCAATTACATAGCGAAAACATCACGGGTTCAAGCCATTGTAAAAGTGTTGGAATCAGGGAACACAGAGGCGCAAGAGAGAGCGTTGTGGATACTTGAGAGGATATTTAGGGTTGAGGAACATAGAGTTAAATACGGTGCATATGCTCAGGTTGTGCTTATTGATCTGGCTCAGCAGGGAGATTCCAGATTGAAATCAACCATTGCAAAGTTGTTAGCACAGCTGGAGCTCTTACAGGATCAATCTAGTTACTTTTGAGACAAATTGTTACATGAAACCAGAATTATTTTTCTCATATGTTTGTTTTTTCCTTTTTTTTTTCCTCTGTTTGCCCTGTAAAGACATTCATTCAATACTTTATGTTATACATCTTTCAGTTCCTTATTGGATCAGCCGTACATATAGTTCCTGTAAATAAGTAATACTAAGAGCTCGCACTTTCAATTTTTGTATAATCTGTTAATAAAAATATTATTGTGGTGGAAGCATATTTTTCATTTGTTACATGACAAATTGTTACATGAAACCAGAATTATTTTTCTCATATGTTTGTTTTTTCCTTTTCTTTTCTTTTTTTTTTTCCCTTTGTTTGCCCTGTAAAGACATTCATTCAATACTTTATGTTAAACATCTTTCAGTTCCTTTTTGGATCAGCCGTACATATAGTTCCTGATGTAAATAAGTAATACTAACAGCTTGCACTTTCAGTTTTTGTATAATCTGTTAATAAAAAATATTATTGTGGTGGAAGCATATTTTTCATTTTTGTTTTTTGGTATCTGAGAGTGGTTTTGAGGCGCCATAATTAAAGTTTGTCTTTACTTTTTACTAAATTCTGTAGAGCCATACAACAGAACTTGTATCACAAAGGAAAAGTTACGAAATGCTATGACACCATGTTAGTTTACTAACGCATCCCAAACGCTTAAGTTATGGAGGTAGGTATTTTCCGATAACATAAATAGCAAGATTAGATTTCAGCTCGAAGACCAGGATGTTATGTTACTATATGCAAATACGTGTATCAGTTACATAGGTATATGTTTTAAGTCCAAAATCTCTGCTCAAACTAAATAGCAAATGTGTATCTGTTACATAGTTATATGTTCCGAATGCCTCTACAATGTTTATTTAAACCAAATCACTCAGGAATAGTACATACTCATAGACAACAAATACTAAATGACAGAAATGTAATGTGAACTCCGAGTTGACAGTCGCCATGTGAACTCCGAGTTGACAGTCGCCGGCTATTCACTCTCCGAGAAGCACCAGCAGGCATATCATGACGTTTATCATGCCACAACAGTGACATCAAAACAAGCATCACAGAGCCAACAGCAGCACAAAGCAAAGAGGCTGCGGAATTGTCACATAACGAAATCATTAAGAAGTTACAATAAGGACTATAAAACTCGAATTGCACTGCAGAGATAAAAAAAAACACAAGTTTTAAGCTTTCATGAATCATGAATAATCTGCTTACCATCCTTCAAGAAAACTTCTATCCCCTTTCTTTTTTGTACGAGCACAACATTTTGTCTTCATATCTGTTGTTTCATCAAGCAGTAAATGAATAACAACTTTGAAACTAAAAGAACAAGAGGGGAAAAAAAAAAGATGGTATAGAAAAGAGATAAAGATGGACCTGATTTCGGTTTCTTTTCAGCTGCATCTTGTTGTGAAACTGACTGATTATGCGCTCCATTAGCGGCCATTATAGAACTATCAGTAATGTGTTATTAGTCCCTTTTGTAAATGCTGTATTTTTGTCATTGCAAAATATGTTTATTTATAGTGGTAACTTGTGCTACAATCCCTGGCCTTTTCCACATCTACAACTTTCTGAGAATAAGAATCTATATGTGACGACCCTCCTATGAGGCCGCCACTGTAACTTAAACTTTAACTTGTACTTACTGGGGTTTCTTAAAATTTGCGGAACATTTTTTTTTTAATATAAGAAAGAATACTTTCATAATTTGTAACAATAATTTCAAATAAGTGAATCACTAAATTTCTTAAAGCTTTTCTTAATTTCAGTTAAGATAAAACGTTCTAAAAATATTTTTCAAACAGAGCAGCATTTGAACTCTTATTTCAAATGCTCTTTAAAAGCCTTTTTAAAACTAGCCAATTCAATCGGGCCATTTAATTTTGACTTTAAAACGGATTTCGTGAGAAATCTTAAATTCAAGTACATCTTAAAGCCCTTTTAAAATCAATCATTTAAATCGTCATGTTTAAAATTTGTTTATTTGTTGCATGCT